CGCTCTTCCCATCCCCACGGGGGTCTGGATGAGGCCTTTCCCCACAGGGATCTCCTATATCCTCTTCGAGACCCGCATTGGGTGCCTGAAGCAGCAGGTCCCTGCCGAGACCCAGCGCTTCATCGATTCCATCAACCTCATGTTCAAGAACTCCATCTTTGCTACTGTCCTGCCCCGATGGAGCCGCAAGGTGCTGCCCTTCTGGGACCGCTACCTGGACAGCTGGGACACCATCTTCGCCTTTGGTGAGTGGTGATGATGGGGGCCCAGTGTGGTGGGATCAGACTCCCTAAGGACCCTCAAAGGTGCGGCAGTCCCCAGCCACGTGTCCTTTTGGCCGCCCTCGCTCTGTCATCGCTGGGTCCCGCTCTCTGTCCCTGCAGGCAAGACCCTGATTGACCGAAAGATGGAGGAGCTGGAGGGGCAAGTGGAGAGGGGCAAGGAGGTGTCTGGCTACCTGAGCTACCTGCTGGCCAGCGGCAGGCTCAGCCTGGATGAGGTCTACGGCAGCGTGGCCGAGCTGCTGCTGGCCGGCGTGGACACGGTGAGAGGCGGGCAGCCGCCACGGGGGGCATCCCTGCTGAGTTCCGTGCCGGCAGGAGGGGGGAGCCATGGGGCCATGCTCAGCCACGCTCCCCAGCCCCTGCGAGCTCTGGGGTGGTAGTTGGGGGGCTGATACCCCACAGGGGCAAAGCCTCAGGGATCGGTCAGTACAGACCCTGTCCTCCGCTCTGCTCCCTGCCCTGATCCCTGCCTCAGTTTCCCCTGTGCTCGCTGCTCCTCACCCGTGGCTTCCCCGCGCACCGGAGCAGGGGCTGTCTGGTGCCATCCTGGTGCCACACAAGGCTGTTTGGGTACCAACCCCATGTCCCTCACTCCCCTCTGTGCTCTCCTCCTCCAGACCTCCAACACGCTGTCCTGGGCCCTGTACCACCTCTCCCGGGACCCGGGCATCCAGGAGACCCTGTACCAGGAGCTGAAAGCCGTCGTGCCTGCCGACCGGTATCCTGGTGCTGAGGATATCCCCAAGATGCCGATGCTTCGGGCTGTTATCAAGGAGACGCTGAGGTACAGCCCAGCCTTGCCCCTGCCCCAGGCTCCTGGTCACCAGCCCCTGCCCCAGGGGCAGTCCCTTCTCCCCCCGACCCTTGGGGGATGCAGCAGCCAGGCAGAGTGCAGGGCTGGATTTCAGTCCCTCGGAGCCACATCCATCCACTTCCTCCCTGGGGAAGGGGATGCAGCTGCTGAGCAGCAGGAGATGCTCCCCCATGTCCTGCCTGTGGCTCTCTCCCCATGGGGTTCCCTGAATAGGTGCTGTTCCCCCACTAACTCTCCCTTTGTCCCAGGGTCTACCCCGTGGTGCCCACCAACGCCAGGGTCTTCTACGAGAAGGACATTGTCATTGGAGACTACCTCTTCCCCAAGAACGTGAGTGGGGGCCATGCTGTGGGGACCCCCGCTGTGCTCAGTGGGGCCCGGCGGGTGTCATTAACCCCCTCCTTCTTGCCCCGCAGACCCTCTTCGTCCTGGCACACTACGCGATGTCCCACGACGAGACCTACTTCCCCGAGCCCGAGCGGTTCCTTCCCCAGCGCTGGCTCCGGGGCCACGGCTCCCCCCACCACCCCTTCAGCTCCATTCCCTTTGGTTACGGGGTCCGTGCCTGTGTCGGC